TTATGGTGCCTATGCCGCCCCCGCCCTGGCTGCAAAAGCTTACCATACCGCTCCAATCGCTGCTGCCTATGCTGCCCCCGTCGTCAAGACCGCCGCCACCGCCGTGGCAGGACACGGCCTCCTGGGTGTCGCATATTCTGCAGCCCCCGCAGTCGCCCACATGACCTATTCCAACGGTCTTGGCATTGCCTACTCTTACTGAACTGACACTTTCTCCGAAAAGGAAAACTCATCACAGCCTGTATTATTGGATTTGCGAGGAAAGTAGCTTCTACCAAAAGCGATATTTTATTTATATCTGAAATCATCTACATACTTATCTCATCTACATCCTTACTTAGAAACTTGTATTTATACCTGTAAATAAATGCTAATGACGCTTAACATTTTGTAGTTCTCAATTATTCAATTATAAGTAATTAGCATCAGTAAATAACGCATTCATTCAAGGATCTAATCACTTAGACCCGTATAGAATATTACAATAACTGATCATTCTTTATAAACGGTCTAAGGAGCGTGTGTCGAAATCTGGGTCAGGGGTGGATAATTATTTGAAACACAACCTTATGTACCTATTTCTAACGGCGCTACACAATTACACAAACATTATTAATGCAACTAGAAATGTGCCCTACGCTTTCCTACTCCCACTTATTTCTTGTTAGTTTCGTTCCTTCATTTACACCAAGCTTCATACAAGTCCAATATACGAAACTTAATTTTTTAACAAAAATCAAGACGATGAATAACGTCCAGAGAGTTCGTTGGTTTAGTACAATTTATCGTTCTGTTACGAGTTCCTTATTTGTTAATAAAAAACAATTCCAATAAATAAAAGTTATCCCCTCTTTCACAGCCAAGGAACGTTTTAATGCAATATGTCAACAAAAAGATCAACTTTCCCTGTACATAGTACGCATACACTTACTCAAACGTCCCCACAGCTTCCAAGCATCAACCTTAACCCACTTCATGTGCAAAAACCTGCACATAAAATATTACTGACCTCCAATGACACGATATCATAAAATCTGACTGGTTCTCCGACAAAATAAATCTACTCGTATTCTGTAGTGACCCCAATTGGCCTTGGAATAGTAAGCAAGTGTGCGAGGACCCCAGAACTTACATTTTCATAAACATCTAGATTTTGCTGAGATTACATAAAAACTTAATATATTTAAAAAAACTCTGGTTATTCATAATATACGAATAAAGTCCCTGGCAGGATTTAAGTCTTTCATACCGATTTCAGTGGCCGTGAGGTTTGCGATACGCACGGTTTTAGACATCTCGAAAATAAGTGCTATGGTTTCAGATCGTATCAGGAATCTGGATGCTTGCTTCGTCTCATCATCTCTAATTTCTTTTATGCACACACGGTTCAATACAGCAGAACACTGATTCTCCGACGCTAAGATCGCATTTTCCTTACTACCATTATGTCTTAAGTAACATTTAGTCCTGCCAACCTACATCTTCAGGATGCACAAAAGGGTTGTCCCTACATTTTATTGAAGTAGATTGCTAAGACGACAGCTAAATCTTATCCCAGACTCTACGGTAGACCTTGTCATTCATCGGTTATTCCTCATGGTTTTCCTCAGCTATCAAGAGAATGCAGAAACACTCTTCTGCTCACTTTTCATAGCCATCCTCGTACCTAATGAATACCAAATTATAAAACACTTTAAGAACGAAGCAAGAAATTTTACAGTGCATCAGTTCGGCTGCTTCGTCTCAGGAACAAATCTTAATATTGAAATTCCGAAATCAAGATTCAGAAAAATTTGGGAATCACTGGTCTAACCCACAGCAGAACACTCAGGATTGGGGAATTGTGATAATGTGTGCAGCGAGCGAGTAATGACGAGGGGCGCAGGTACACGTTCGTCCTGGGTTGGACACACGAGTACGCTGTACACTGTCCCTCCCTAAGGGCGCAGCCCTGCGGCCTCTACAAGGCCGTCCGGTGGGCTGTGTCCTACTGTTGCATGTGTCGTTCTGGTTCCACGACGAGAAAACTTAATTGGGTTCCCATTAAGAACCAGTCGACTTGTTCCATTAGCAAACAAATATGGATATTTCGTGTCGCAAATTTGTAACGCTGTCCTTGCATCGTGTCCCAGTACGGACGGCACTTACTAAGCAAGGACTTACGTAGCGTCATTTGAAATGTTCGCTAGAATTATAACAGAAATTATTTATATTTTATTACAATTATTACAGTTACCCTGCCGCACAGGCTATTACCGCTTATGCCGCCCCCATCGCTGCCGCCGCCCCCGGTATCCTGGGAGTAGCTTAATCTGCCGCCCCCGCTGTAGCTCACATCTCCTACAGCAACTACGCCTACTGAGTATGCAAAGTGACAGACTGTGTTGGAGGCATAGTCGCACGTATTTAAATTGTATTCATTACAACATATGCTAATTAACTAATAATTATGTCTGTACAGTGTGTTATTTTCTTCTTGTGTATTATACAGATGTGTTCTGAAACCTCGCAGTAATCGACTGCTTTATAATATTGGTTATCGGCCAGAGCAGGTCAAGATTTGAGTACACATCGTTTTACTGAGACAATCTGTCCATTGCTTGGTCTTCATGTAAGATAATATGGCATTTAAATTTTTCGTTATTTTTATCTTTCTGTTTTGACTAATTCAAAACTAAATGTTTAAACCTATAATTTTGATTTTGATTTATGACATCGGGATAATGAAAGAATGATAATCCCTGAGCAATAATTACAAGAATGTACTCGAACCTGATGATGGTCACATTGAGCTGAAACATTTAGCTCAAGAGAATGGAGTATAAAATGACTGTAAAAGTGACGGAGAGAATTAAACAAATGACAGGGTATCTGTCCGACAACGATTTTCCCTTTTCGAATCCCAGATTCTGCTGATGTGTGTGTACTGCTTAACTGAACATTGGAATAAACTTGCAAACACAGTACAAGCCTAAACGGAATTTAAATATTAACAATAACTTTATCAACTTCGTTCTTGCTTCTCCTAATCCATTAGAATTCGTACCAATGTAAAAAAACAGTACAACGTCATTCGATTCGCGACTTAAATTGAACAAACCTGATCAAACATGAAGGTAATGCTTAAATTTACTGGCTGGACAAATAAAGTGGCTTTAATATACAGAGAGCCGATTGTCCCAAATATAAATGTATCTCGTCACCCGAGAGGTAGCATCAAACAAAAAACAGGCAAGTTTATGTGAGTGGTGTTCATTTTACTATCAACTTGCGTGGTTTGAGCAGCCATTATGAATCGCTGTCAATACGCGATTCAATAGAGCAGGGGCGTTTCCACGCTGCACGGGTGTGTGTTGAACCCGGACTAGCAATGGATTACGTAAGCAGTTGTTCAATCTAGGTTCTTGAACTTGTTAACCGCGGTCTGCACGTACAGACAACATGGGGGCGGAGAGTTCAATTTCTCGGAGTTAGCCGTATTGGCCCAGATAACACTTTAGGAACGAAAAACAGAACATCTTCTGTCTGACTCCCGTGGTTCATTGGTACTCCATGTACTGGAACACAGCAGAACTGATCAGATAAAATACGTTGTTAGCCCGGTAGTTGATGTTTACGCTAATCTTGTCTTCCTTCAAAAATACTTATTCATCGCCCTGATGACGGAGGCAGTATGACCTCTGAAACGTAGGTAAACGTCGACCAGACTACAAAGCGCAACAACCCTGAAGACAGAAATCTTCATACTTATTTTGAGTTTATTTACCGATGCTATTAATTACTCAAATTATATACCATAGAATTATAGTGTGATTCACAGCTAATGAATTTGAAAACAAATGGAAGGCATTGGTCGTAACATAATTTAAGCTACTATGCCGTCGATTACCTGGAGGGACTGAGAAAAGCCATGAAAAATCTTAGTCTAGATATCTGGTCTACGGGTCAATATTTAAATTTGAACCTTCCCAATACAAAGAAGGTTTGAAATTACTTTCTTCTGGATTGCATAGCCGTGTAGTCTGGTCGAAGATCATAAACTTTTCAGAGGTACTTGTTGACGTCATCATCAGGATGCTAATGATGAAGGCACAAAGTATCTCTGAAACGTCGGCAAACTTCTACCACACTACAAGACGCTACGATCCAGAAGACAGCCATCCTCATACTCGCCGCCATGAGAGCCTAAAATCCTACGAAGAAGTTTTGTTAAAATCTCGGTAGTGAATATATTTTTAAAGAATTCATAAAATTTAATTCATATCATAGTAAAAGGGCTACGGATTGCTTGGCGATGGTGTGGGTCACAGGCTGGCGAAATCAGTTGTGTGAGTTGTGCACTAGCGCTTGGCTATTTAATTGTTGTCAGATTAGCCAACAGGCGGTCACCATTCTACCCCTTCCCTTCGAAATTTGCTGTATATAAGCAGAGCAAACAGCTCACAATTCATCCAGTACTATTACAGTGCTTCGCTTCACCTACCGCAATGGCTCTCAAGGTAATTCATCTCCCACAGACAATTCACAAACAGTCTTGTATTTCTATAGCTTAATACTTAAGAGATTGCTTCAAAATGGCTGTGCCGTGTAGCCTCATAAGTTGGCCGAAGGATAGAATACATTATTATTATATCGTTCTCATGCTGTTTAAAGAAATTTTTAATAATATCTCTTCCGTAAATTCTTTAAAAAGCAGTATTTTTAAATATAAGAAAATCATTTTAAAACTCAGCTTTAAATTACTTTCAGCTGTAGACATATAAATACCCTAAAATCTCGGAAAAAATAAATACAATGTGAAATCTTTAAAATTTCACATTGCAATACTGTTTTATTAAATAATATATTTTCTGAAAAGTGAGCAAAATTTAATTATTCTTAGTACATACTGTCCCCCCTTCATAATACTAAAAATTAAACATAAGATTAGCTGATACGTAATATAACTGTTGTTTCGACATAAAAATTATTATAGAATAAAATAAGATTAAGACTGTGTACATTCAATTAAACATGTCTTGGAATCACTCGGTCGTGGTACACTTCTAAGGAACTGAGGAAGTATCTTACAGTTCATGCATTATGTCCAGCGAATAAATGTTTAAGAGGAGATCATAGTTCATATCAGCAAACACTTGAAAAACGAAAGATTTAGACACCGTATCCGTTTGTAAATACTTAGACATGGAGACAGAATAATCCAATTTCCTGTAGTATACAAGTGCAGGGAGATAATGTTCTGAACCTCATTTATGGTTCAGCTATGGAGCGTTAGTACAATACTTCGATAGTAAAGAAAATTAAATTCCTTTCATTCTAAAACCTATTTTGAGAAACCGAAAATTAAATTGGAGAATAATATTAAAATGGATATATGGGTGGGAGGGTGTAAGGGTTGAAGGCGGATATAACTGGCTCAGGATCTGGTGTAAAACTATGACTCAGATTATTTATAAGAAAATAAACTAGAATTCTAATAAAAAGAATATCATTGAAGATTAGGAAATAAAACAAATGGATATAATCGATTATATCACTAGCACAAATCAATATTTTACTTAAGTTACTCAGGTAACAACAAAGAGCTAAATAAAATTACGTTTGAAAATAAATTTAAAGAAATTAATTCAGAAGTGGGCCTAATAAAATTAAAATTCGCAAGAAACAGGAGTATCTTACACATCAAAGCGTTATTAAGTCGTCTATTCCTTTCGCCATTATATGTAGAAGCTATATATCTTTAAAACTGTTTCAAAAATCTACAGTTTACTACACAGACTTACAAATGAAACACACACTGCAATAATGTTCGTCGCCGAATCTCATGATCTTCGAAATTACATCACAAAATACAGACCTACATATCACATATTGCCCATAATGCACTGATTCGACCTTCAAACAGAAGTACGCATTTGCGCAGACGCACAGTAATTCTATTACGCGGTGTAGAAGCTTCCAATTCTCCATTAATTTCCTTGTATTCCAGTGCGTTCTAGTCTTATATTTGTATTTGTAGTATTTCATAATCGAAAAATAATTTAGATTTTTGCCGCGTCATCAAATAGTGTCAACTATCATGCAGATTACTTCAACAGTGGGAACAGTTTTAATAAGCAGCAATGTTTCTAGGATATCATTCAGCGTGACGTTACGGTTTCAAGGACTTCACATGTTTCGTGCGACGTCGAACCGATAACTTCACCCCCAATATTCTCCCATGTTCATATGAACCAAATAAACAGCTTTTTCAAGTACAATTAAAAAAATGTAACTTTATGGAGTCTATTAAATTAGTTAACGTAACTGTAACCGGTTTTTCTGCTACCAGACAAATGACACACGTCTTACAGTCAACGCAGACTATAAGTTACACATTTCACGTACCTTATTTATCTGATCCGAATTACGCAATGAATCTGATATACATTTGTCACAAAAGAGAAAGCAGACTTAATTAAAAGTTTATTAACGGATCAACGTCTCAGTAATTATTCTGTTCAATCTGGGACGCTTGAATGGGTCAGTTTAACATTTTATAACAATCGAGATGTAAGGGTCGTATTGACACGAATAAGGATTTAGTGTCAAAATGACCTTCAAGGATATTCTTCTACATCCCCACTGGAGAAACTCAATGAAGACATAATTTAAAAACATATTTTATGATGACCACAGCGACCAACCCAGACGTTTTCAAATATAAAGTCCAGTTTTTCTTCTTCAGTTGTTAGATTACGACCTCCTACCTGTTGCAACTTAGAACAAACTTCTGAATGTACACCCCCTTTCATCTATTAGGCAGGACTCCTTGCAAGAGTTTCAGCCCATCGCAAAGCCCGTATTTTCGCAGGGCAGGAGAACAAAAAATATGCTGACAAATTCATACCTTGAGTAGGATTTTCACCACGATACCAGTGTTTTCGAGACAGTAACTCTTCAGTCGGGTCATGAATAAAGTAAACAAAGAATAACAATTAGAGCTAAGTTCTCTTTCGAACAGTCCATATCTTGGATACAACCGAAAGTTACCGTGGAGTGGTTGGCAATCTTGCTACGTATTCGGGAACTCCCAGAGCTTGATTCCGACCCTTAGTCCAGCTCAGCACGTTTGTAGGTCTTTTAGTTCCTTCAAGCAAAAACTTCTACGTTCGCGACAACCACTTCCTTTCCAATTCATAAACCATTCGATTCACGAACTCCGCAGTTGCAAAGGTGTCGATAAATAATAAAATAATTGATCAATCAGGAAACAGCAAATATTGTCAAGCATTATTCCAGATGTATCACAAATTATGGTTTCAGTACGTCATCCTCGCTGTCCTG